TTATTGACACCCACCCTGGCAAGCAGCGACTGTCCCATCCCCTGTTGGTAAAATATCGTTACTTGGCTGATGACACGGTATACATCTTCCAATTGTCTCAACTTGGAATAACCCATATTTGATAGTCACGCGATACTTCGCACAACTGATCAAACCATCCACGCATGAGCAATTGAAACAGACTCCTGAAAACCAGTGGGTACCATGATCCCGCACCATGCCTTTCTCATCGGTGCAAGCTGGTCGAGAGAGCTTGGTACAGGTTATCTTTCCATAGCTACAGGTACACTTAGTCATGTTGTTGCTAAGCCACTCATGTCCATTTGCAAAAGCGTTGCCATGGGAATCCCAGCAACCACTTTCAGTTTTTTGGCACTCGACTTTAAGATTAGGTGCACATCTACATTTGAACAAAGGATTTGGGTTCCAACTCTGCCATACGTCATAGCTGTTTCCTTCTTTGTCTCTGCAACCTAGTAGAAATTCAGAAAAATAGGCGACCAAGTAGGTTACCACGCATAAATTCTCGATGCAGGCAGTCACGGGTCGGCCTTTTTTTTGCGTACTATCCACGGTTATGCCATTTGTAGCTACGAATGGCTTCAAAACTAACTACCTCATTTTATCGGGATCGAAGTCTTCTAACAACAAAATATGTAATGGAAGTATTCAGCCATGCGGAGTCTGGTTTCCGCAGCTTTATCTATTCGGTTGTTTCTTTTAAAGGAAAAATCCATGATCTATCACCTGGAAGGACGAGGTAAGGAGGATTTGGGAGGGGGGGGGAATTAAAGGGGTATCAGTCGACCCCTATATATTATAAAGGGAGGGTACTAAAGAAAACTGCTTGCCAATCAACTGACAATGAAAGGGGCACCATAACAATATTATAAAGCCTTAGGGAGATCATAAACAAATTCATCCTACTTCTTCCCCCCTCTCCCCCCCCCCATGCCGATAAATGATGATCAGTTCATAACTGGTTTATGTGTCACTTACCAGCTTCTCCAGCTCCACAGTATCGCAGGCTGCAGGAGTCTACACCTGTAGGAAAGCGTCCAAATTTGTACACCATAAAACCACTACAGTTTTTCACTAACACCAAACTATACCAGTGACAACAATTGGTATCCTTTGTAAAACAAACCATACGCTGCACCACACCCTCCTCCACGGTTGGATGTTTGCCATTCAACCAGCCAGGTGACAGAGTACCACAATGCATTCTGGGCACGCAATGTGTCGGCATAACAATCCCTGCACGGCCAGCCAGCCTGTACCAGCCACTGGGTAGGTAGGCGTCACACTTCAAAGTGTTGTAACTGAAATAGTCTGCGGCTCTATCACGTGCGTTGAGTGTGTTGTAGTCAGTGCATTCATCGCCTACTACCAATTAAATAAACAAACAGACATACAAACAAACAGTTATCGAAACAAACAGAAGAAATCAACGATATGAAATTCTTTTGTTTATTTGAAACGTAGAGTCGATCATTCTTTTAATTACAATGAACAAACTTGAAGAGTTTCGGCACAATTTTCGCTAACACGTTTCTGTTTAAAGACTGAACTTCGTGTTGCTTGGTTTAACGAAGTAAACAATTATCGCAAATGAGATTAGAACTGAAATAACGTCATTAAGTTGGCGTGGATAACTCTTTTAAAAGGGTAACTCTTTTTCCATATTGCATGCTCATCTTGACATCCATGAAAGCATTAAAGTTTGTAACGATGGCGTAGAATTTGGGAACGTTTCTAATCTTTCTTATAAAATTTTGTTGAAGAGGCGGCGTGGAAAAGGCTGCAGTTATTAAATAGAATACTAGTGTCTGTGTTCAAGTTGAACTTTCACTCACAATTAAACAATCAATCAATTCCTTATCATTTTTAAAGGCTTTAAACTGCCTTTCTTATATTACCTAACTTATTCTTGATCGCTACCTGCTTAGGTGGCAATGATCCTGAAATAAAGAAAGTCTCTGAGAAAATTTGTCCAGATTTTATGAATTTAAGTCAGTATCTGCGAGTCTTTGGGTTAAAACGTGGGATATCAAGTTAACTAACACCCATCCCTCCCCTGAGGGACGCAAAATGGATGAAACCT